TACCTGCTCACGTTGTACTTCTAAAAACCAGGTGGGACTCAGCTCCGCAGTGAGATGGCGCTACTCGGACTCGTCTATCTGGAAGCCAAACCAGTAGCAGAGGAACATGAAGCTCACTGGAGTGAAACGCGCTGCCTTGGATATTTGTCTAATTTAGTGCTGAAAGCCGTAAAAAGAAAAGGAGACGACGTATTTGGACAAAGACATGGCTGAGCTAACGTTTCGGCCTGAAAAGAGCAAAAAGATTTACAGTGTACGTCCGGCTTTAGGCGTCTAACGTTCAATCCCTGGTTTCTTCATTTTCATCTTCTCCTTGGGTGCATTACTGCCACCATCTGGTAAGGAGTGGAACGGCTAGCTGAGCAAACATGGCTACTACGGTCTGTCAGTTTGACAGAAAGAACTCAATTCCACTCATTGCACCCCGAGAGAAAGAAGAAGAAGAAGAATCCCTGTTTGCCCACTGAGCGATTTACCCACGACCACCTTAAGATGGCCGCCTGAATTTCAAACATGTTTGATTTTCTCCTGACCTTATGATTCCTGACGGGGAGGCGGTCGTTAGAGGCTGATCGCCCCTCGTTACCCCCTGTACACCACGAACCATCAGGCTTTTCCCACACAGTATTGGAGAAACATTCTCTCAGAGTTTCTTCAGCTTCCAGAGACCATCTCATCACCGTGCGTTTCACAGCTGGTTCTCTGTGCACCAGGGGTTGAACTCAGGCTGGAGATGAACCAGATCGGGGTCAGAGTTCTCCAGGGGAGGGAGAGGTGATGAGCTGTATGCCTCCTTAGTGATGCCATACAGTAGATCCAGTGTTTTATTGTTTGCATAAAGTCACACTTTCTCACAGTGCTGACAGGAATGCAAACCAACCTGTGGATGATACATTCCTGTTCATGGAGTCATGCGGTTACTGCTGCTTAGCACCCGCTCTGGATCCAACCTGTTTTCCTTTCAACATGCAAGCCGCTAATACTGAACTCTGCTGCTCATCAGAGCAGATATTAAAGGAAAAGT